CGTCTATAAAAACGGCCTCGAGCACACGCGCCGCATAGTGCAGGTTCCGCTGCATATCCTCGTAGGCGACGGTCTCATGGTCCATTCGTCGCAGCAAGCTGCGTATTCTGCGAATGCAAAACAGTTAATTATTAGCCAACCAGACCTTGAGAAATTAGTAGAAATAAGCCAAAAGTTTAAATATCCGAATCGAAATATATGTAAAAATAAACAATATATGTATAACCTTTGTTTAATATTTTGTAAGCTACCTAACTTAATATAGACTAGTAAATGTTTCCTAGCCTAGAAGTTACTCTGAACCCTTTCTTCAATTCCAATTATTGTATTCTTTAAACATTTCTTATAATGATTTTGTTATTTTTGTATTACTATTATTATACTTTATTATAAAACTAAACTATATTTCTAAAAATTATCTTTATTCCTATTACATATAATTTATTGGATTGATTGGACTATGGTCTCTATAACCTCTAGAAGATTTAGCCTGAGCAAAGCTTTTGCATTAGCTGGAGGTAATTCTAACTTTTTTTTAGATGCTGTAACTATAGTTTTAAAGAGCAATACTTTGTTACAAAATCTCAAACAAGAAGGGCAGGAATATCTGAAAAAATAATAAACAGGACATGAGATGTGTGATTCCTGATTAGGAAACCAATTGTGTGCCTTTGCTAAAATAATAATTAAGATTCTAATCATATATTTATGTATTTATAAATGAAACATAGACTCACCTGACAGCTGCTTTGTTGAGAGCATCTGGCGTATCGACAGGTGGCAAATTTTCCGTATCCCATACATCACCGGCGGAAGTATTCGAGACCGATTGTAACGATTGACGCGACGATTGATCCATTAGTGGATGAAATAACGAGCTTGGGGCGGCGAGTACGGAGCTTTGATATTCGGTCGTATCGCGACTTAGTCTATAATCGAAGGTGGGTCGCTCGATTGGCGCCGGTTGCACAGCTGCATCGGTTACGAAATTCGTTTGATTTGGCGACGACGGTTGCATTTTGCCAGTAAGATTCGATTGAGCCCGGGACGAGCTATCGACCGCACGCTTATCGGCGGCTGTTAAGGATGTGTTGCCGTTGGAGCCCTTAGCACTAAGTCGCTCAGCGAGAGACTCGCTGATCGGCGTTTGGAAGAAGCTAATGCTGCCCGACGATGGCGAGGCGATTGATTGCGATTGTCCGTCGATCTGTGTGAAGCTCTTGCGACTATTCGAGCGCCGTACAATGGTAAGTGAGCCGTGTTCTATAAGTAACAAGAGCAACAATTCGATTGATAGTCAGTTTGGCTCAGATGTATTCGGAGACTTTCATTTAAACAAATTGACTGGCTGACACCAACTGAACACACTTGAGGGGCGTAATGTTGAGAAACGTAACGAACAGTTGACATCAAATAAAATAAAAATATACAAAAATGTTTATAAACTGAAATTACAGAAGTCAAAAAATGTCTACTAAGTCGTCATATGGCATATGAGTCAAACTGGATCAGAAGTGAGTTTTGCATACGATATGCAAGTATTACTCAAAGTATTTATTTGGAGTATTACCTCTAAGTCTTTCCTCTAAGTGTGTCCTCCAAGTATTTCCTCTACGTGTTTTCTCTATGACTTTCCTATGAGTCCTTCCCCTAAGTCTTTCCTCTAAGTATGTTTAGCTGAACGAGCACACATTTCTTCTAAGATGTTCCTCAAATTCTTTCCTCTAAGTATTACCTCCAACTATTTTTTCTAAATGTTTCCTCCAAGTAATTCTTCTAAGTATTCCCTCTAAATCTTTCATGTCTAGCTAAGTAAGTAAGTACTAAGTAGCTGAGTAGCTTTCCTAAAAGTATTTCCTCTAAGTATTTCCTCCAAGTATTTTCTCCAAGTATTTCCCCCAAGTATTTCCTCTAAGTCTTTAAAGCTTAGCTTAACAATCACACACTTAGTTTCACATTACTGCACTGCACAACTGACCCCCACCAGGTACTTCCCTTTATATAGGGCGACTTTCACTCAACGACTGAGTAGTGCTCAAATGTTGAGCCAGGCAGCAGGTAGAGGTCGTTGCAGGCGAACTTGAAGTGACCAATGAGAAGACTCTCTGCTACTGCAAGCATACTAGCTTTGTTCTCCTTATATATAAAGATCAAATGATTACTGCGGCATACATATAGACAGTTTAGATGATCTGTAGACAGAGAGACAGAGGTAGAAATGGAGACAGACAGATAGACAGGCAGTCATACCTACAGACATATGGGCTAATCTCCCGAAATTGCTCCTAACTGGACAAAGCGAAAGAGAGAGAGAGAGAGAGAGAGAGAGACAAATAGAGGGAGGGACAGACTGAGAGAGAGAGTAACGGAGTTGAGCTAAGTCGATTGGTGGCTGCCCAATTCTTCTATCTGTTCCATGTATTGTATGTACGTATGCTTAACGGTCCTTTCAAATATATTTAGATAAGAGATTAGGTATGGCAAGAATAAGAAGTTATTTAAATGAATAAAGAATATAGAGTTGTATAAGCCCATAAGCGTAGCACTCTCAGTCATATTGCTAGAGTAAATCAATAATTTATAGAACGACTTTAAGCGTAGCGAACATCACATAATTCTCTATTTAGTTGAGCCCGAAGTGTAATTGTGAATGCTTAACGAACGACCCAGTCAATGGCTCCTGGCATCCTTTGGCTGGCAATGGCAATGGAAATGGCAAAGGCAAAGGCAAAGGCAACTCGAAACGATTGCGAGCAAGTAGCAAATAGCCAAAGATTTATCTAGCTGCGTTGAGCGTTGAGCATAAACAGCCACAGGAATGGGACAAAGCCAGCTCCTCGGGCGTATTTGGCAAACGAATACAGACAACAACAAGAACAGTAAAGAAAAAATAAAAGAGAACGAACGAATGAGAAGTAAGGCGGGAAAGAACGTTGCCACCCACTTGGACTGTTAACTGCATTCCATTTATTTTTTGGCAGTGCAAGCGCCAGTGGCAGAGCTACAACAACAACTTGGAGCTCGAGCAGTGGCTGCTGCTCCATAAAGTTCGCTTTTATGCAGCACTTAAATTTATGTTACACTCGAGATTCCACTGCTTAAAGGTATCGTTTGGAGGAGCTCCTTACTGCTCTGCCAGCTTATCGCGTCTCCAGTTGCTGCTGTTGTCTGAGAGAGATCTCTGGGCTTTCAAGTTTTTTTTTTTTTTTTGGGAAAATGTTTTATGCTACTTTTACTGTCCACTTCTCATGGTCTTAATGAGTTCAGGCTGCTAAAAATCAAAGGCAGCATCCCACACAGAAAATCTACTCAAATTGTAGCTTAGTGGCTCTCTCTCCCTCTCTCTTTCTCTCTGCTTTAAGCTGAGCAACTCTTGAATGTAGTCAGGGCCTCTGTAGAAAATGAAAATTTTGAGTCAGAGGACACACATAGAAAGCTACGCCCCCCAAGTGTTGGCTGTTGAGGAATGTAAGGCTAGAGGTAAACTTACTTGCCACTTGACCATTTATTGTTGCATTGGCGCCGCCGCTGCTGCCCAGCTCACAGACTGTGGGACTCTGTTCACCGTTATTTGGCTCAGTTGTTGACGCTGCACCTGCACCACCACTGGACGCAGCTCCAATGCTGCCGACGCTGCTGCTGTTGCCGCCTGCACCTGCTCCTGCACCTGCACCGGCAATTCCTTCCTCCCGCTTAGTTGGCAGAGTCTCCGGCGTGCTGGCAACTGCAAGTATCAGAGAATAGAAATACAAATCGAGCTTAGAAAATGCATTTTATTCATGTTATAAATCCCCATTCAACAGGTGCCTATATGGCAATAAAAACGTGCATATGATTGAGCGGGCTGTGACTGGAGCTAGCCTAGTCACCATCAGGCCTCTTAGTGAAATCTCATAGTCATTGTTTGGATACGAAAGGGTCGGCGGAAGCTCTTGTGTTAGAAAGGATTTGCATTTGAGTGAATGCAGTACAATCAGCATGAAAGCTTGGGCCAATCAGGTGCACGAAGTTGAGCTAAATGAAAAATCAATTATCCATTTATCGGGATCAGATAATAATAAAACAGAAATATAAACATAGTCACAGAATTTCAATATATTTAGACTAGGCTCTACCGCCAACTTTTTGATTTTGTATAATGTCGGGTGATACTTAGTCGTGCCATATGGATCAAATTAACTACAGTGTCGGATTAATTATTAACGGATTACTGTCCTAAGGATATAAAAGTACGTCGACAATTGGGGAACACTTCAGAGTTTTCTCAGCACTTGTCAAGAGTTGATTATCATCATGAAGTTCCTCGCTTTTATCGCCTTCAGTCTGCTGATCCGGAATGCTTTATGCAGATACCCGTTTTGTAACTGTACTGGGGAAAATCATCCTGTCTGCGGCAACGATGGCCAAACATATGCCAATGAGTGCATACTGGACTGTGTTGCTGAGGATGCGGCAGTGGACGGTTTCAAATTATCCAAAGTACACGATGGACCATGTTAAATGTTGAACCCAAATTGGATGATACGAACTTAAAAGTGTATTGAATTCTAATAGTTTATTTTATATATGAAGCGAAATAATTATTAATTCCAACACGTTGAGCTAACACCAACTCTTGATGATTCTTTTCTAAGGTTTCTTTGATCAAATGTGCTGTGATACGAGCATAAGTTTTTAAAAGGAGTTGCAAAGAAATACTACTTTTCTGAGGTGGTGCAGATAGAGAGATTTTTACATTCTGCGTACGCTACAAATTTCAATTCAATTCCCCCTGAGTTAAGATTAATGGTTTCCGATTGTCCATACATGTTCTGTTTGCTAAAAAATATGAGTTTTGAATCTTTGGCTAGACATGTGTGTAAAATACATCTAGAATAGTATATGATTTTTGGATTGGTAAAAATTAAAAAAAAAGTCATGGAAAAGCATCAATCGGTCGAGCGGTATCTAAAACTGAAATTTAACACCTGGAATATTGTATAAATGTTGAATGATTTCTAGGTTGCATGGTGATTTAAGGAATAATACAATGAACAAATCATGATTACTAAATCATGGCGAAATAACCTTCAAATTAAATTTGATTATTGAGACGAATATCTCCATCCCGCTTCGACTATTCTGATTGTCATTTTTTGATATAGTAAGGATATCTTGCTCCGACTCAATTGTCTTGCTAATTGCTGACGTATTATCTGGTAGTTATTGGCGAATTGGCCAGCCATAGAGCACTTAGAGCTGTTGTTGCTTTGCGTTGCGGCTTTTATCTATTCGAATATAAAATAAAGCTAGCAACTGTAGAAAGCTTTAGTATTGTCTAACCAGTCATAGAGTCACCCAGTCACCCAGTCAGCCAGTCGACCAATTGCAATCGTTATGCGGCTTTGCGCTCTTATCGCCGTCTGCCTGCTGGCACTGCTTTCCCTTTCCACCGCGGAGGATCAGAGTGAGATATGCGCCTGTACGCGCAACTTTGAGCTGGTCTGCGGCAGCGATGGCATCACGTATCCAAATCCGTGCGAGCTAAACTGCTCCGCCAGGCGTGCTGCGCGTCACGGCAGCCCTTTGACTCTGGTCAAAGCTGGGCCCTGTTAGTTTCCGGAGTTACACAAGAGTATACAATTTAAAAATGTGAATTGTTCACTTCACACTTCAAGTTAAATAAATATTTTTCCGACTATTGCAAAATTCAATCAATGCTAACTACTTCTTCTTTGCTTTGATTACATGTGAACAAAGAATTTGCAATTGATTTTGAATGAAGTACGACTATTTCGAGCCACGGTGGATTTCTGAGAGATTTTCGAGTGGGGCTCTCGGCTAAAGCAGTCCGAGTTCTTTAACAATTTGCAAGCCTATTAGAGAGTAATATATTGATTATGAACGCATTACTCCGCATTGCAGGTTGTAAGAAAACAGAGCTAACATTTCAAGATAACTTTTGGAAACTTTAGCATTCTTTTGCCAGTTGCCCAGAATTGATCGTCATGCGGATCTGCGCTATCATCGCTATCAGCTTGCATATCCTAAGCGCTCTCACCCCCTCCAACGACGCTCAACGGCCTACGTGTCAATGTGACGAAAGTTTCAAAGAAATCTGCGGCAGCGATAACATAACGTATCCCAATTTGTGCATACTCAACTGCTTCGCTGTCGCAGCTGCGGCCTACGACGTTAATTTGACTCAGGTGCATGAGGGACCCTGTTTGAATAACTGATTTCTGCTTATAGACAATTATTATAAATATATGTATATCCATTATAATATGGACGATTACACACACACTCTTTCGGCATTCCAGTAACTGTAAGAAATTGTAACAGATTGTTAATTTGGATTGATCATTCGGTTGGCCCTACTCGACTCTCATTGTTTTGATATCTTTATAGAAATGGAGTGCAGGAGATCTTCAATTCGCATGCCTAGACCAAGACCAAGATTTTTACAGAGTTCAAGTTTAAAAACCAAATTTTCGAATATTGCAAAATTAATTCGTGTGAGAGAGAGAGAGAGAGAGAGAGAGAGAGAGATAGGCATGTGTAAATAGTGAAATAATATTGTTATATAAATCATATTTGATATTTTTAGAGATTAGAAGTTACGTATGGGTCGGTTTCGCCAGCTATCAACTAATTACAGAATTCTAGCATACGTGTTTACGCCTATTTAGCACCTAACGTGAGATAATTGCCATTCTTCTCGGTGCCTCGAGTGCAAATATTTATTTGCTGTATGTATATTTCCGATAGATAATTTACCTTTGAATATTATATTTATTTGTTGAGACTCATATCGTCATTGTGCTAGTGACATGAAGAAATTTCCTTATATATATTATAAATAATTTATCTATGAATATATATATATACATATATACTTATAATAAATATGAGCTCTACCATAAATAAATGTTAATATTTGTGCTGATTTCAACCTTCGCTTTATTTATTCAACTGCTCAACATATGTGGAACGAGTTCTAATTCCAACAATAATAAGAAATTCGTTATAGCAAGGGAATAGCTTGAAGAAATGTCAACGTGTCTTTAATTCGAGAAGAAAGATAGTATACTATAGTTTAGTATAATAGGAAACAAGAAGTACAAATACAATTACAAATACAAAATATTTATGTATCTTTGTAGAGTTGTAAAGAGGATGATTTATTTGCTCAGGTCATAATATTAAATATATAAATATATATTATATATTGTAGAGCATTTTCTTCTAGTAGATTTCTAGCTGCATATGAGCTTTTATTCTGATTCAGCCTTGTGTATCTGAAGTGCTGTGCCCTCTGATTAATAGCTGTTTATACATTGCAGAGATAAAGCTAGTCACTATCAATAGTCACTTCGAATGGGCTCTGCTGATAAGCAATAATTTTAGACAAATACATTTATAGTTTCCCCATTGACGGTGATTCAGCACGGCCTTTATAAAATATTATTCCATTTATTTTGTATTTTGATTATAAACTTGTGTTGGAATGTACAGATTTGAAACAGATTGAAAGTCCGCTTAGCAGTCTCCTGATCTGAGCAAATCCAAGCTGCGTCCAGCCCGCTCGAGCTCGCGACGCGCACAATCGTATAGACAGCGATTTGGATATGAGATCAAGTTGCTGGCACAGACTGGATCATAGTTGCGAGGACACGGGCAGATTTGTTTCGGTACGGCCAGCTTCTCGTTCTCCGGATTGGCGTTGACAAACGTGGCCAGCAGCAGGCACAGGGCCAACAGCAATAAATTGTACTTCATTGTATTCGTACAGCAGGTTAATCCACTAGTTGCTCAATATTGATACTGACAATTGGGTTTTTTGTTTTGGCTGGGCCACTTCCATCGGCTCGCTTGTATGCATGACTCTTATCTTATCACAGGTGCTTCGTCGCTTGGGTAGTGTTTTTACGCCTTTTCTCTTACTGCTTTAAATATTTCGGTCGAGCTTTGTGCACACATATTTGTTTAATATATTTAGGAATTTTCTAATTATTATTAGTTGTTGATGTTCTCTGATTGTTGCTTTTCGTTTTGCCACTGATCAACAGCTGCTGCTTTGAATCGGGTTCGAGTTGCCAACTAATTGCGTTCCCAAAAAGCTTTGACACAAGCTTTTCATGTACTTAGAGATGCGCACGTGCCGATTCAGATAACGGCACCAATTCAAATAGAAGCTTCCTTCGACTATTATCAAAATACCTATCTGAACAGAAAATATAGGTATTTTGATAATATTCGAAGTGAATTTTATATTTGAACTGGTATATATTTATTCCTGATATATAAATATTAGAATAAAATAAAAATATATTTTATATTATATATGAAAAATTATAATTTTTGTCTTTGTATTTCCAGTAGTTACCAAGACTCTGGGTTATATATTCCATATCACTTAAATAAAGTTAGTTAAAGTTTCATTTAGCTTAAATAAAGTTAGACTTTATGTTCAAATAATTATATATAAGATTCTAAATTCCAGCTGACTTCAGTTCTTGTCATTTATAATTTGAACTATGTACGTAAGGTCAGTCTGCAAAGGCTTAGCATATATGATAATAGACTTGTACAAAAAAATATATTTAAATATATATTTCATTCTTTTTATTATTATAGGAAATTTAACTGTCTTTGAGGCCTTTAAAGCTTCTTTCTTTTACTATACTTTGCTTATAAGATATTGACTCACGCGCCCATCTCTAATATCAGTCTATGTATATGTATGCTCTCTCTGTGTCACTCTCTCTCTCTCTCTCTCTCTCTCTCTCACACAATCTCTTTACACACTTGCTCTCTGTCTTCTTATCAGCATTGACACCTCTGGAAAAAGGTGCGCACTGGGTTGCCGCGATCGTAGCACAGCCCTTGATAATCGGCAGGTGGGAATAAGTAATTTGGCTAAAATAATAGGTGTACCTCAGTTAGTTGGTGCGTTAATGATGGCCCTCAAGGCACTCGCTCACTTCAATTTGCATTTCCATTACAATTTCCATTACAATTTCAATTAATGGAATGCCATATTTATCGCGTATATATTCTAATTTATTTTGATGTCAATTTGTGCACTCTTTTGTTGCCCAACTAAGTAGTTTTGATAGTAATTCACTCAATTTGTCGAGCTCGGCCACTGGGGAAATCAGACTGAGCGCACGATAACTCGTTCCGTCTTAGTTGCAAAATTGGCATAGCCATGCGCATTTCGAGTCTTTGGGCTGTCCGCTTGGTAATGCTGCTGCTGTTGGTGCTCCTCTGGTTGCATAGCTGGCGGGGCACACCCCAGGCGGAGGCCATCATCAATTGCCAGGCCCTGTAAATTGTTGGAGGCGCGCACAGCAAATGCAAACAAAGCGCTAAACAATTTCAATGAGACGAGACCACGGCAAAGTTTTCATAGAGCAGGATGGCGTGGCGGATGGAATGCCACAGATGTTTTTGTTTTTAAGTGGAAGCACACTCTTATTCAAACACACACATACACCCGCACACACACATTCACAATCAGAGACGAAAAAAAAATAGTCAGCAATTTGTTGACTAATTAGCAAAACTGACGCATACTCAGAGACGTACTTGACTCAGCCCAAGCCCCGCCGGAACACGCTCTTTTCAGTTAAAAAGATTGCGTTTGCTTTGCTTTTGACGCTCAGTGTAAATTCAACGCTCGACTAGTTGAGTCGCATCTCATCAAATCTTTTAGAATCTCGCCGTATCGCACAGACTTGACACTTTACTTATTCGTGGCTGTTGTTTAATTAGCTGAAAGTGAAGATGAAATCTCTGAGTTTGCTTCTGCTGCTCAGCTTTGTTCTAACTGTCGTTTGGCTTGGCCAGAGCGAGGCCAACTTTTGCCCCTGCAACCTCAACGAAAAGGTTCAGCTCTGCGGCTCGAATGGCATTACCTATACGAATCGTTGTGAATTTGAATGTACGCAGCGCGAATACAGGGGCCTGGGTCGTCAGCTCAGCATACGGAAGATGGGACCCTGCTAAGGTGGCGCCAGCATCTACAGTTATTTCTTCCCATTGAACGTATATAATATTGTATATCTACTTATAAACATATTTCTCATATATTATATCTATTTTTAATGACATTTTTTAAAATCCATTATATTGTTTTTGACAGTGTGTCCATGAGATATTTACAAAATATATTGTTATAACATGTCTGCAAAATATACATACATATATTTTTTTATTTTTAAATATATATATATATACAAAATAAATTCTTTTAACATGAATTTTTTACTTTAAAAAGAAAGACGACCATTATTTCCGATAAAGTTATTAATAATATTAAATAATAAATTGATATCATAAAGTGGTAAACATATATATTTTTGTTTTTGATTTGAAACTCTGTTTCTAATTTATATATATACTAATACTTTTTTTTTTAAATTAACTTAAATATTTTTAATATTCTTTTTTAGAATTTCGAAAGACTTTAAATTCACGGATAACGTATTTTCTCAATTCCCCCTCTATCTACTATAAATCATTTCTTATCGATATTTATGCAAAGTGGAAGTGGAAAAATTGATGGATGTGCCAAAACGTGGAAACAGGTTTAATTTGGCTGGGGCTGATAGCCGCTTTCATTGAGCCGCGCTGAAGCGTGTCGCCGATTTATCGTTGTGTCCGTATGCAAATATTGCCATTAAATGCTAATTAAAAGCAGCAACAACTACGCAGCTACGTCATCAACAGGTTTGAGCTCGATGCTATTGAGTGGGAGAGTGGGAGAGGGCGGCTTCGATGCGTTGCTTAAATACTCGCCTCACGTACATCCATCAAATTGTGCATAATTAATCGAGAGACAGGTCGGTCGCCTGCAGCGGTGGGTGGGGTGGGGTTTGCCATTTGCGGATTTGTGGACTGTGTGTGTGGACTGTGATTTATGAACTGCATTACGAACTACGTTTCGTTAATTGAATCACGATACGTGCGACACAAATGTCAAATTACTCAAATGCCACCGTGCAACATTCGGCGCACAACAACAAATACAATCGGGACACATTTATGAGGCACGAACATCGCCGAGCTGAGCAGAGCAAAACGGGACTACCGTTTGTTTTATGACAGGAAGCTGTCAGCCGCGTTAAATGAAGGGAATGTTATTAAAAAGATAATGCACTGTCGACTCGGTTGATGACATGTGCTTTTATCTCTATGTACTCATGGCTCATCACTCTGCAGAAAAACAAAATAAAAGCTGCCTAGGGTACACTTGGGAGCATGGAAATGCCAGGCTATGCATAGAAGCGTGCCTAAAAATTACTTAATGCTTCCTTTTTATCAGTCAGTGATATTGCTTAGTTAGTCGGGCGCTAATTAATACCAATTTTTTTTTTCGTCATCTGTTTTGAATTTTACATTGCAAATGTCATTTTCGTATTTCATTAATATTTTTATAAATATGTACATGAATAATATAATATAATTTTCTTTTAATTAATAGAATTCTTTTTTCTCATATTTTATTTTATTATTATTTTTTTAAATCCTATTTAATTAAATTTTTTTTTTTAATTAAATTTAATTTTTTCTTTATTTTTGTTTGTATTTTACCTTATTTGCATTTGCATTTGTATTTTATTTTATTTTACTTACACTATTAACATTTTTGCCTCTAAATAAATATAAATATCTTTTACTCAAATCAAGCGGATTGTAACAAATTAAATTCTATGAAATTTTGAACAAATATTTCAATTTTCATTCCACTGTGCCATTTGCTACAACAGCCAAGTTAAATGCAGAAATGTACTAAGCCAGTTACGTATTAGTTCTTTCTATTTGCATTCTTATCAATCAGTCACAGCTCGGCTTTGCAACATCTGTTTCGCATTATGACTTCAAACACAGCTGTGCATCTTAGCTAACGCTTCTTATATTCAAGTATTCAATATTTCATAAGTATTTACTGCCAATTAGGTAGTAAAAAGCCTGTTTAAATAAAATAATAAATAATAATAAAAAAAAAAATATATTAAATAAAAAAAAAAAAAAAAAAGCAACAAGTATTTATATAGTGTATTTGTTTTTATTTTTTCTTTTTCAAATGGGCATTCTACTTTTCTACTGCCTACTTTTCGGATAACACACAAATAGGATTATGACTTTGCTAAGCTTTCGAGACGAATTAGGTAGATATATACGCAAAGCTTATAAGGATTATTTATTTACATGTTATTATTGGACTCTCGCATAAATAATAGTAAAATACAATTTGCATTGACTTGACCTCGTTTAGTTCAAGTATTCAATATAAGCTTGAATATTTAATAAATATTAACGTTGTGCACCCGGCTTTTGCGCATGGATTAGCATTAATCTATCAAGGTAAATTGGATGCAATAAAAAAGTAACAACAAATACAAATATGAGCGTATTTGTGCTAATACCTAGTATAGACCTTTTCGTTGCATAGACAGCGAGTCCCATATTACACATTAGCAATCTGTACGATTGACACTAAAGCTGGCGCGCTGTTGTTGTAATCGATTTTGATAACAAGTGTTTGATAAGCGTAAACCTATTCACGACATCAAATGGCTACACAAATACCAATCAAAACACGAATCTGCCCTGTGCCTTAGAATCGAACTGAACCAATTTGCTGACGCTTAAGGGTTGTCGGAGCTGAATAAAATACGAGTAAATAGATATGAAAATCGAGAGAGAGAGCGGAAAAAAATAACAACGAGTGTGTACCAAATTCGAATGCATACATCAAAGGGCCGACAATTTAATACCCTAGAATATATAAATTATTATTTAAATATATATATATATAGACGAAATAATGTCAATTTTTGGCCTATGCCAACTACTTAGCCGATGTTATTTGATATATAAAAATATTTTATAATTTAATGGAATACAATTTTAAACAAAACATAATTTGCAGCCTAAAAGTAATAAATGGAATAAAATTATTTAATTGGCAGATTTTTATAGATTGAGTTAAGTTTGATTAAAAAAAAAAGCAGTATAACAAAAAAAATATAAAAAAATAACAATTTATTTATTTTAATAATATTGAATTCAAATGTACTCAGGCTTGCTCTCACTTTTAGTTTCATACTACCTGCAGCTAGAGCAAACAGCCTAACTAAATAAGAATTTGATTATTCTTTTTTGTTTGTTGTTTTACTAATCAATTTATGTTTATATACCATGTCGATGCACATATAAAAATAAACTAAATAAAATAAAATAACTGGCAAGCTACTATATATAAACGATGTCAGACATTAAGATCTCGGAGGCACCAATAAATAATCTATAACCTTTACCAAAATCAAAGAAATTAGAATTACAATTTCAATATATTTAAACATTATATTTGATTTAGAATTTATTTATTTTTATTTTTATTTTTTTTTTTTTTTAGCTTTCGATAAAGGTTACAATACCCTTTGCAAAACTGTTTCGCTACAAGACCCAAAGCATATGTTTGCAGAGCGTGTATTAAATATGAATCAGATATTCGCAGCGAATTAATCTGAGCATTTTCTTCACATTTTTTTCCGACTCTTTTTTTCGACAGTTTTTTTCTCCTTTTTCTTTTTTCTTTTTTTTTTTATATGCCAACGCGAGTTGGCTTTGATATTATTAAGTATTTACATATTAAAATATGTACTCGTATTTATTCATGTGGCTGCAGCCGCTGGGATCCAGACCGCTCAAAAAAAAAAAAAAAAAAAAAAAATTGTAAAAACGCCCTGAAAATTCCTTGGCAAGGGTCCGATCTGGGCATACAAAATTTCTTGTATATTTTTTTGGGGCTGTTTTGGTCGTTTTCCGACGCAATTCAATCAGTGTACGACATCAACGTAAGCCAACTCCTGGCGCCCTGACAGACAAACAGACTGACAGGCAGACAGGCCGACAGGCGGACAAACGGACAGGTGACAGGCGACAGGCGGGATTAGTAGGCTGTACTCAACAAATAAAGTTCAGGGTTTTTTTTTTTTTTTTTTTCAAACAATTTAACCTGTTTTAAATATATGAAAATTTGTAGACAGCTGCACGTGTGAAGCACTTTCATCAAGCCTCAAACACGATAAGGAAAACTCCAAATCCAAATTGAATGTCAAACCCTTTTCACGTCATTTCCACGATTTTCAACGGAATTTAATAAGTTGCGCAAAAAATGCTGCAAATGATTCGGGTTTAGCACCAAAAACTTTACGGATTTTCATCAAGTCTGGATATGAAGTTATTTTACATATATTCACGCATATATTTTCGACATTTTTCTAGTTCCACTCGTATGCCTCTAACATGTGCGCCTATGTCCTAGGCAGCTGGCCTATACGAGCAGTATATATATTATGCAAGCAGCGCGCTGCTGAACAACAGTGTTGCAAAATGTTTTAATTAGCCAACCCAAGGCAGCAGCCCGCTAAAAAGTGGGCGTGTGCAGCTGATGCAGCTCCCACGCCCCCTGCGCGTTCCATCCGCATGGCTGCGGAAGCGGCGGGTTTTTCCATTTTAGTGCACGGTCACGCAGCGGAAGTTGGCGATGGAAGGTGAATGAAATGAAAATGCAACGTGCTAAGTGGCGAGAGATGCGAAAAAGCCGACGTGACAGCACGACGAACAATCTGATAAACACGCAAAAAAAAAAAAAAAGGTAAAGGTCGCCAAAGTCCATGAACACTTTACATAACCAAGCACAGTAGCTTAACCTGCTACAAATTTAAAAGGGAATTTTTGAAGTTATCGATGGAATTTTCATTTGCATAGAAAAAACTTTTGCTTAAAGTTCTTTTAGCTTAGTAGAGCATTATCCAAGCCATGCTACATCATTTATAGGGTATCTATAGTCAATCAAAGGGTGTTTGGTGACTTGTTTGTATAGTTAATACTTGACTGATTACAGAAATGAAGGAAACACATGTGCAAATATAAATAAGAAGCCTATATTGCGTAAGCTAAGTATACAGGTTAATAAAAAAAAGATTATAGTATCTTCTAAGTAAATGAAAATGTTTATTAAATGTTGCATAAATTTAGAATCAGCTGTCGTTGAATAGCTGAGAATGTTTAATAATAATCGAAATTGTTTTTAGATTATAATTAGACTTATTAAACAAAGTTAAAAAATATATTTGAAGTAAATTCAAATGAATGTCAATTATTATATTAAATTATACAGTCTTAGAGTTGATAAAAAAATCTATCAAATCTCTTTTTACTTTGATTTGCTATTGCTTTTCGAATCGAATATGCTCTTCGCAAGCCAAAGGCCCCAATTGCCAGTACTTAATGTCTGAGTCAGTCTTAATTTTAGATTAATTCTAATCTCTAATAAGTAAATAAATGTTCTTCAAAATTAGTCAGAATTTTTTAAAAATAATGATTGCAGCTTTACCGCTCAATTTAGTCCAATTCAAGCTGCGGATTACACAAAGTATTTCTATTCAAACATACTTTAGTACTTCGACAAACAACTCGCTGGCTGTGGTTTCCCCTAAATTGTCAGCAATTTTAGTTAAATTTTAATGTTGCATAATTGATTAATTAGCCAAGAGCTGAGCATATCTTGTGTGCTCTGTGCCCTGTGGATGCCAGCTAAAAAACTTTTCTCTGCAACTTGTTAATTGTTTTTGTCAAATGTATGTAATTACTAAGTTTGAGCTCAGCCCTCGCGGAACTTGTTTACTTGTATATACCCCACATAATGTAGCTGGGTGCAAGAGGGTGTATTGGTTGCTAAATATGTGTGTATGTATATGTATGCATATATGATTTAAGAGTGGGAAGGTAGAATGTCGTTTCATGTGCGTTGATTAAGGAGTAGGATCCCTTTTAGCGATTTTTAGTATATTTGGTATTAATTAAGTATTAATTAGTCAACGAGACTTTGAATCATATATTCAAGTGCTAAGCCCATTATCTGAATGACCTATAGAAGCATGTAAGTTCCTTATTATTCTGACACACTAGACGACAATGCTCCTCACAGGGTATCCTTTAGTCAGGCACTGTTAACTATTACACACTTGTTTACCCTTAAAACTGTGCTTCTGTAGCAAGCATCTAATATTCTCATTCTGTCGAGCAACACAAACAGAACAAATGCGACTTATTATTCTCCCCGGATGTTGTCCTAGTCACAAAGGTAGCAAACAATAATTTCAAATGCATTTCATTTTTCACTGTTTAATCAGTTGGTCTGCACTATGTCCTTTGTATAAGCGAAATAAATAAATAATATATATGAATCTACAATGTAATAACTGATGAGCGCGTCCATCTGACCATCTGGTAAAATATTTGACTTGCAATCTATAGATTATTAAATAATCAAGCCAGCATCTAATATTTGTAAGCAGCGTTGGGGGCTATAAAAAGCCGTTAAGATCCAACGGTTGCAAGAAAACCCGTACACAGCTTTACGGAGTTCGGATGGCTTGGAAACTATTGAAATTAGCGCTTTGCTTGTGCTGGCTGCTTGCCGAGACGCAAGCAGATTCGGCAAAGGATAAGAAGGCAAAGGAGGTGGACGACAACTGGTGGCGTCATGAGGTCTTTTATCAGATCTATCCCAGATCCTTCAAGGACAGCAATGGCGATGGCATTGGCGATCTTAAGGGCATCACCTCAAAGCTGCCATACTTTGTGGAGACCGGCATCACGGCCATTTGGCTGAGTCCCATTTACTCGTCTCCCATGGTGGACTTCGGTTACGATATATCTGACTACCGGGACATTTATCCGGACTACGGTACTTTGGATGACTTTGATGAACTGATTGCCACCGCCAATCAGCTGGGAATTAAGGTCATTCTTGACTTTGTGCCCAATCACAGCTCTGACAAACATGAATGGTTCAAAAAGTCCGCTGCTAGAGTCTCAGGCTACGAGGATTTCTATGTGTGGGAAGATGGAACTGAAGAGAATGGTGAACGCAAGCCGCCTAACAATTGGGTATCCGTGTTCTCTGGCTCCGCCTGGCAGTGGCACGAGGAGCGAAAGCAATTTTATCTGCGTCAATTCACCAAGGGACAGCCCGATCTGAACTATCGTAATCCTGCTGTGCTGCAGGCCATGGACGCTGTGCTGACTTACTGGCTGAAACGGGGCGTGTCAGGTTTCCGTATAGATGCCGTCAACTATGTCTTTGAAGATAAACAGCTGCGCGACGAGCCCTTGAGCGGAGCCACAAGCGATCCCAACTCCGTTGATTATCTGAATCATATCTACACTAGAAATCAAGAGGAAAACTACGGCCTAATTCAGCATTGGCGCAAACTGCTCGATGACTATTCGGAAAAATATGGAGGTCCAGCGCGCATTATGATGACCGAGGGCTATGCGGAGCTGCCGCAAGTAATGGAGTTCTATGAGGACGAGAATGGCGTGCAGGGCGCCAACTTCCCCTTCAACTTCGACTTTATAACCGAGCTGAACTCCGAGTCGACGGCTCAGGACTTTGTCTTCACTATTCAGAGATGGTTGATCTACATGCCGCCAGGACACTCAGCCAACTGGGTGATGGGCAATCATGACAATCCACGCGTTGCCTCCAGATATGGTGCCAAGTCGGTCGACGCCATGAACATGCTCTTGATGACTCTACCGGGCATTGGCATTACCTACAATGTAAGATGTCTGACTGTACTCTGAGTTCTTTATTTGCTTCTATTCGATTTCTGGTTTCTTGTTTAGGGTGAGGAGCTGGGTATGGAGGACTATCGTGACATTAGCTTTGAGGACACAGTGGATCAGCCCGCATGTGAAGCTGGTAAGGATAACTACAAGTGGATTTCACGAGATCCCGAGCGCACGCCAATGCAGTGGAGTGATGAGAAGAATGCCGGCTTCTCCACGGCCGATTCCACCTGGTTGCCAGTGCATCCCAACTATCAGGAATTGAATCTAGCCAATCAGCAGTTGGCACCGTCCAGTCACTATAAGGTCTACCAGTCCCTGATCAAGTTGAGGAGCTCTAAGGTTCTAAAGGACGGTACATATACTGCCCAGGCTCTCAATCGACGTGTTTTTGCACTCAAGCGGTAAGTGGGATACGATTTTGATAGTGCTATTTCCATCCTTTATATTGGTCTCTGTCACCTGCAGCGAGCTGAGGGGCCAGCCCAGCCTGTTGACCGTCATAAACGTGAGCAATCGCACCCAGCAGGTGGATGTCAGCGACTTTATCGATTTACCCAATCGCCTTACCCTCCTGGTTGTCGGTGTCAATTCCCAGTACAGAGTGGGCGAACGTCTCAAGCCAGATGAAATCAGGCTGACACCCTACGAAGGTTTAGTTATACAGCTTAAGCCCAGCAAGTAACTTAACGTATTGCGAATGCTACAAATAAAGATTATTTTGAAAAATGTATCAAAGTTTTTCAGACGGAGATTTTGAAGATTGGCGTTTGCGCCTTATGATTACTATCAAAAACTTGCTTTGGGGTTTAAGTATTTCGAGAATGTTCGAGTGACAACATAAGACATATATTCCACTTAATCTTTCTATGAATTAGATGGTATTCAACTGATAACATAGCTTGTTTTGAAATAGATCAGATGGTTTGACTCGGGGCTTGATCGGACTGTGTTTTGTATTTGAGCCGAAGCATATTATTATTATCATTATTTTTGATAAGACTAATACTATATAATTTGGGTTACATTTCAAGAAGAAACTTTAAAAAATACTAAAAATGTAATATAAAAGTGATTTCATAAAGATAACACAAATTACAAAAATAATTGCATTTAAAAGTAATAAAATTACAATGAACTATATTTTGCAGAGCAAACCTATGTTGATAGAGAGCCTTCAGCATTGCATATTTATTGTATTAATTTAAACTTTACCATTATATATAATTTAAAATTCATTTAAATTACAATTTAATTATAATTCCCATTGCTTATTTACACTTGAAAGCGTTTTGCACGTTTTAATTGAATTGCGAACATTTGTTGTTGTTGTTGCTGTACCCATCCAGCCCTCGCGCCCCGCCCACTCTCATACGTCTTCTTAGCTGTTGCTGTTGTCGCATTTTCGCCGAAATATATTTCATAACTGTCAGCGCGTCTGGGCAGCTATAGATAAATTTGCCGTTGAGCTTAATTAAAAGCCCTTTGTTGTTTACTATATTGGAATGGTGGGTGCTGTGAGCGACGGCGTGGACTTTAAGTGGAACGTAAGCTTGTGCAAGCATTTATCAAGTGCAGGCTGCAGCAGCACACACAGTTCTCGCAGCTTCCAGTTGATCACAGCTGCCGAAAGCGAAGCGACGTATTTCTTCTTATTTGTGTTTTGTGATAGGTAATGAGAGTGAGAGAGAGAGAGAGTGTGAGAGAGAGTGAGAGAGCGAGCAAGAAAGTGATATGAATGCCCAAATTGCTTTCGTATAATAGATAGAATGGGAAAGAGAGAGAGAGACAGAAATAGAAAGAGCGAAATTTAGCAAATGAGCGTGCGAGCACAAAGGAATTGAAAGAGAAAAAGCTTCGGCAAAATATATGAACTCATCGTTTCTCTGAATGTGCTGCTAAGAGCAAGTATGCTTAAAAGTGCAACTATGCAAAACCGTGTTATAATAAAATAGAAATATTGCGCAAATATATTATAAAATATAATAATATACATTAAATAGAATTTAATTTGCTTGCAATTGTAATACGAGTTTGTATTTTATTGGTTGTCTTCTTTTTTCCAATTTCAATTATTTATAATCAGATGTGTTATTAAGAGTTAATGTGTTTTGGAAATTATTATAATTACACAGCGGGCAATTGAGAAAGAGTCGTTTAAAACACAGCTCCATGCGGCTGGCAGCAATAGTCGCTGGAGTCAAAATGTTCGCAGCGCAACAGTTAAATCGAGCAACTCAACTAATTCTAATTTGCAGCCTGCTGTGGATAGAGGCGCCCGGCCTGAGTATGTCCAGCTTGGTGAGCAGTCAGACGGAGGACTTTATTGACTGGTGGCAGCACGCGGTCTTCTATCAGATCTACCCTAGATC